AGCAGCACCCACCCTGGCACCGCCAGCGCTCGGCCCTGGACTCCGTTGGCGCACAGCTGGGGGCGCGACAGCCCCAGACCCGAGGCCTGGGTGTGGTCACGTGACAACGGAAGCCGGGCAGAGGGGCCAATTCAAGCAATCCCCAAGGAGCCCCCTCCTAGGCTTCTTTCCTGATCCATTCTTCACACCCGCCTGGAGACTCCAGGGGCTCCCAGGGGCTGGCAAAGCAAGCCCAGCCCTTTTGGGTCGCTTGGGCTCCCCTGGCAGGACACCAGGAGTAGGAAGAGCCCATACCCTACCGCGTGGGAGCCACGGTAGGGCGGAAGAAGAGGACCCCTTTGCCCAGCCCCCAAAGCCAGATGTGCTCCGAGCCCCGTGTTCTCATTACCCATCCTCCTAGAGATACGCTGGGTCCTGGGCCTGAAGGTTCTTCATCTCCAAACCAAGGACGGACTGACCCAGCACCTGCTGTAGGCAAGGCGCCGCTGGGTCTTTAAATTAAGTTTTAAAGTTGAAGGCACAATTCCGAAAGTCCTTTCTTCCCCCTCCTTCCCACCGCACAGTTGGCATGCCTTTTGCCACGCCGGGGAGCCCATCCTCCATGTCAGCCCATCTCTCAAGCTCCATCTCACAAAGCCTGCCTGGAACCTGATTCCTCTCCACTCCACTCCGAAGGCCCGCACACTGGGTCCGTCCCTCTCTCACAGCTCAGGCACCTCGTGCGGCCCGTCTCACATTCTAGTGATCTGTTTACCAATCCTGGTCCTCTAACCAGATTAGAAAGTCCTTGAGGCAGAAACAAAGTCTGCTTCTTGAAGGCCTCCCCCATCGCTCAGCTCGTACCCCACTGGCCAAGTGTGGCCCTGGAGTTGATATTCAATAAATATCGGGTGTATTGAAATGATTTCCTGCCCTGGGGCGATTTGCAGGCCAGTTGACGAGACAAACACACAGCATGTGAGGTTAAATAATAACCCAAGCCAGCAGGTGGTGAGCACCACATGTTTGTAAGAGCTCTAGGGCCTGGTGGGAAGGAAGTAGTGATATGGGAGAAAGATCCCGGGAGGTTCTAGGCCTTGACCTGTGCCTGTGGAGGAGGAGAGAGGAGGAGTGGAGGGGACGGTGCCCAAGCCAGACCTGCCCAGGGCTTTGAGGTAAAGCTTCCCCACCCTCAGTCCCCAGGCACTGCCTGTTCCCTGGCCTGCCACTCCTACATACTACACCCAAGAGGGCTGCCCAGCACTGCCCAACTCTGGATGCACTCTGGTCCCACCCTGCTGAACAGCTATTGTGTGACCTTGGGCAAGGCGCTTCCTTCCCTAACCTCACTGCCATCTGTACCTCCAATGCAGCGGGTACAGTAGGCTGTGACTCTGAGTCCCAGCCATACCAGCTACCTCCCCTGAGGTTACCTGGGCTACTGTGGCTGCCGGCGCCACCACCGCTCCCTCCTCCCCCACTCACTGCTCCCTCCCAGTCTGGAACTGCTGAGAACACTGGGTACAGAGTGTGAACAGGGATAGTAGGTTTCCTGTGGTTGCAAAAGTAACATGGGGACTTTCCCCACAGGGCAAGCTGTGGGAGAAGTGGGGGAGGAGGAAGCAGGGCCAACCTCGAAGGAACCTCTGCTCTCTTCCCTCCCCTCCTCAGAGCTCCCAGCTCTCAAAAAGCCTGGTACAGTTTGTTACGCTGGGCAGGAATGTACCGTGTGTTTCATATGGCCTCTGTCCAGTCCTACACTGGCCGCTTTATATTTATACTTCCTTCTTCAGCCCTGGCATTCTGCTGTCAGTCACCCCTGCTCTCATCTGCCCACCTCCCACCTGACCGCCACCCCTACCCACCATGGGTCCTGCTCGGGTTGTAAACTCTTGGGGGGGGGGGCGGGTACACAGAGAGCCCTGGAGGAGAGAAGTTGAACTCTAGACGAGTGAAGCCCCTAGTCCCCTTTCTCTCTCCCATCACCCAGCCCTGGGACTCCCTCCGAGGCCATGGACCCTCCACGTTGGGTGTGAAGGTTCTCTGGTGGGCCTACGAGGTTGATCCGCTACTCAGAGAAGTGACGGAACTAAGTTCACATTTAGGTGTGGCTGACGTCAAAGCCAGCACTCCCAATGGTCTTTCCCCACGGTCATAGACCCTCCGTGTCTCCAGCCTCAGAGCCCCATTCCCTTCTCCCTTCAGATGATTCCAGAACGCTGCCTCCTTGAGCCCTGGCATGCCCTGAAATGTGATTAGCCAGAAGAGTGTTTTCAGCCCTTTTCCTGTGGAGGCCTCAGAGGACACCAGGGGGGTTGGATGGTCAGTCCTGCTCCGAGGCTGTGGGCGGCTTCCGTTGTCTCTTAGCCACTGGCATGCGTGCGGCACTCACCCCTCACCTGGGAACAAACTCGGCCTGAGTGTGCTGCTCTGGCACTGGGGTCTAAACACCGGGGCCCGAGCCTGGGTTCCAGGGCTCTGCACGCAGATCTCTCGGCGGCACCCAGTGATCCATTCACCGCAGGGCTTCGGGGGAAATCACCACCATATGTCAATTCCTGACATGTGTGCCCATTTCACTTACATGTCCCAGCTCAGAATGATTTTAATGTTTCTCTGAACTAAGTAAGGAGAATGTTACCCACTTTCCTGATGGGAAAATTGAGGCAAGAGCAGCTGAGTTGCTCACCCAAAAAGCAAGAAACTAGGTTTGAGACTGCGATATCTGGGGCGCTTTGTTTCATGACACAGGGCCTTTCCTGAGCTAAGAGAAAAAGAGTTTCCCAAGATGTTCCCAAACCTGCTGATGTGTGGCCTTTCCCCCAGCCCTATCACCCTGGGAGGGGCCCACTGCACCGGGCTGCCCCTGCCACCTTTACCTACCCCCAGGGGCTGAAGCAGGGCACCAGATATCCTGCAGGTACTGGCCTGGCCTGCCCCCTGGCTTCCTGTCCTCTGCAGCTCTCAAGGGCACATCTTGTCCTCTCTGAACCCAGTCATCCTTCCTTCCTCTTTTATCCTTCCTACTCTCTTTCTGTCTTCTTGCTCAAGAGAGCCCTGTGTATATGCCTCCATCCATCTGAGTTTGCTTTTTATTTTTGCTTTTTGTGTGTCCATTCTCCTGGGACATTTTCCCAGCTCCCCTCTGCTTTCTTCCCTCTGAGGCATGTAGAAGCATCTCCCATTCCTACCCTACCCCGGTGCTCCCCTCCCCTCCTGAGCTTCTGCCAGTGTCAAATTGTTCAGGTTCATGCACTCAGTGGGCTCTTAATGAGCACCTACTGTGTGCTCCCGGAATTGTGTTAATGCCTGGGACCCCAAAGTCCAAAAGCTGTGCTGGAGCATCTATTAAGCACCTACTGGTGCATTAGGTATTGTGCTTCAAAGTGGTGGCACAAAAGCTGGTCGCTGCCCTCAAGAGATCTCTGGGCTACTTGGGAATATGCACGACAACAGATCATTATAATGTCCTGGGAAGTTGGGGGCTGGGCATGGCCAGAGGAGTCCAGTCTGACTGAGGAGCTAGCCAGGCAGAGCAAGGGTGCAGGTGTAGAAGGGACAGTGTGTATAAAGGCACACAGGCGTGAAGCGGCCCCGTGTTCTCTGGCAGGCACTTTGAGGTGTTTGATCTGACCTGAACATGGACTGCAGGCTGGGGAGCCCAGGGAGATGAGGCCAGAGGCAGGCAGGCCAGGATGGTGCAGAACCTCATGTTCCAGCAAAAGGGTCGCCCTTTACCCTGGAGCACCCAGAAGCCCAAGTAGCCTCATGGCTCCTGCAGCCTGGGAGCTGCAGGGCTGGGCATGGGTCCTGCCCACAGCTTTCTCCAGAGCTCCCATTAACCCATATTGACTGCTCTTTGGCTCAGCAAGGCCTGTGGGAGAGTCAGACACTTAAATATCATGCTGTTTCCCAGGCACATTTATTTGTTCATTCATAAATGTTTAGCAAGCTCCGATTTTGCCAAGTGCGACTCTGAGCTCGGGGAATGGGCCATTGAACCCCATAGAGGTCCCAGCTCTCAAGAAACTTACAGCCTTGGTAGTTGGGAAGGGAGGCTAGGCCGTAGACAAAGACACAAAACAAATAAATTTGCATGGTAATTTCAGATTGTGCTAAGTGCAAAGAAAATAAAACGGAGTGATGCAGGTGAGAGTATTGGGGAGTCAGGTAAGGCTTCTCTCAGGAAAGTTACCTTTGAGCTGAGTCCTAGGTGGCAAGAACAAACCAGTATGTGAAGAACAGGTGCTTTGGGTTCCAGCACATGCAAAGGCCCTGAGGCAGGAAGCAGCTTGAGGTTTTCTAGGTTTAGGGGGAAAAAAATGCTGGGTTCAAATTCATTACTCCCCAGCAACTCTATGCAATGATTATTGTACCCATTTTGTAGAGATGGTTAAGGTCCTCGGCCAAAATCACAACTGGTAGTATAAATTTTGGCTCTAAAGCCACTGCTGTGTTTTCTGCCAAAGTACCAAGTATAGCAATCATGTGTTCTAAATTATTTAGTAAGTCCCAATTTCCAAAATTCTGTCCCATTGTTCTCTGGGCAAACATTCTTCGTCCCAAATCATGACTTCAAACCCCGTCTCTGTCACGTAATACCAGCGGGGTCCCAGGAGGGGCACCTCCTCACCATGCGCCTCAGTTTTGTCATCTGTGAATAGGGAGAGTGACACTTCCAATACCACAGGCTTGCTGAGAGGATTAAATGAGATTACCCACGTAAGGGCCAGAGGAGTGCCTGGCACATGGCACACGTTCAGTTCGTGGTAGTTCCTGATTGTCATCTTGGAGAGCTGAGGGCAGCTGCTGTAAGTTCTCCCCCTGTGAGGCCTCTGATGCCTGCGACAGGCGGGAGCTGTGGGAGGAGAGAGAGCAGGGGAGGGCGGCCAGGAGGGCCCTTCCCTTCGCGCAGCCACCCGCTCCCCCTGGATCCCACACTGACACAGCTTGTGCTCCGCATTTCCAGCGAAATTCCTCGACACTGGGCCACACCCGCCCCCCAGCTCTTTGGGTAAAGCAGGAGACACAGCCGGGTGTCTATGCAGTGACAATCCTCGGCCCTGTGTGCGCCAGGAGCCCCCAGGGGCCGGCGGCCACGCTGCAGGAGGGCCGACCACAGAGGGAGCCTGGCGTGGCCTGCTGGGACAGAGCGCTTCTCAGAGGAGGTGGGGGCCCGTGGGGTACGTGACACCCGCTCCCCCAGCCTCTGAGCTCCAGTTAGCAGGACAGAGACCCCTCCCCACCCATCCCAACCTTCCGGGCTTCCTGCTGCTGCACACACTCCCTCACCCTCCCAGGCACCGGCAGGCCAGCTGCAGCCGGGTGGGGGAGGGGGAGCACGCCCGGCTTCTCAGACCCCTGGCCTCCCGCTCCCACCCCTTCCTCGCCCCCAACTGCTGAGCCGCTTCTGGGTTTAAAGCAAACACCATTCTGTCCTTCCTTCGCTCGGCGGCAGCTCGGCCTGGGCTATTTTTAGCAGGGATGCAGGGAAGGCGCGTTTCTCCCGGACTTTTCCTGGGGACAGCCCCCTCCCCCAGCCTAGACCGGCCTGGAGAGACCTGCACGGAAACCCCCGCCCAGAAATGGGAAACGTGCGCGCTTTCTGTTCCTTCGCCTCCCAGAACAGGAGCTCCAGTCAAGCGCTGCTGGGACAGTCTCTAGGGGCTCCACCCCGTCCCGGGCTGCCCCATAGACCTAGGGAGCAAGAGGCGCATGGCGTCCAGAGTGGAGGTGCCCGTCTGTGGGTGTGGGGTCCAAGGGGAATTGCTTGGTTGCAGCCCACACCCAGGGCCACGTGGGGCGCCAGGCGTGGTGGGTTGTTTACACAGGCTGGGCAGGTCTCTCTCTGCGTCTCTGTATGTGTGCCCTGTAGGTGCTAGCGGTACTTCACTGAGGGAATCTATAGACTGTAAAATGCACAAATCTTCACACGTGCCTATAACCACGTAGCCGTCATCTAGGTCAAGATTCTGAACACCTCAGCACCCCTACATCTCCTGTGTCCCCTCCCTGGCAGGCCTCGCCCCAGAAGTGGCCACGATCTACTTTCTGTCACCACAGATTAGGGGTGTGTGTGTGTGTGTGTGTGTGTGTGTGTGTGTGTGTGTTACAAGGTTAAAAGAAACAGCTGCCTTGGTGGAAGAGGGAAGTAGGCAATAACATTTTCCCATGAAAAGGGGCCCCCAGAAAAGGAGGGTTATTCAAATGCAAAAACACTAAGGAGTCATTGGCGCAGGAAACAGGAGGGTCCAGAGCCCACCGACCCTCAGGACTGAGGCCGGAGGGAGGGCTGCGGACACTCCTTGGAGCAGAGAGGCAGTGAGTGGGCGAGCGGGAGTAAGGGGAGGCCTGCTGGGCTCCTCCTGGGCCCGGCCGCGCCCACGTTCAGCTAGAGGTCCTAGATCCGCGCCCCTTCTCCCGCCCTCACCCCAGCAGTTTTCAGCAAGGCCAAGGCTGCAAGGAAGGGCGCTCTTCGGGGCATCCAGACAGGGAGAAGCCAGGGCCTCAAGGTCTCCACTATGGGATTCTGGGATTCCTGCACCCCTAGTCCTGTCTGGGGAGGGGAGAGGCCGAGGCTCTCAAAGTAGGGAGTCGAAGGAAGTAGAGCTGGTCACGGAGCTCACCACTCCCCTGTCCTTCATTTAACAACACATTTGGGCTGTAGCTTCTGCCAGGGCTGCGGAAGGAGGAGGAATAAGAAGTTTTAGCCCACTAGGGAGGCGAAGGTAGCATTCTCAGGTGAGGCAAGGCCTTTAGCCCTTCACGTTGGAGATGAGGGGTCAGAGAGGTCAAGTGACTTGTTCAGTGTCACACAGCCGGCTCTGCAGAGGGAGGCAAAGAATGGAGACCCTTGACCCAGGCCTCCCTACATAAGAAAGTGAAGGAAGCAGCCGAGCCGGTTTAGTTCAGTGGGTACAGCATTGGCCTGTGGACTGAAGGGTCCCGGGTTTGATTCCAGTCAAGGGCACGTACCTTGGTTGCGGGCACATCCCCAGTGGAGGCAGCTGATCGATGTTTCTCTCTCATCGATGTTTCTAACTCTCTATCCCTCTCCCTTCCTCTCTGTAAAAAAATCAATAAAATATATTTTCTCTCTCATTGTTTCTAACTCTCTATCCCTCTCCCTTCCTCTCTGTAAAAAATCAATAAAATATATTTTTTAAAAAATCATTATAAAAAATAAAAGAAAGAAAAAGGAAGCAAAATCAACAGCCCAACTTGGCTCCTCGCAGGCTTTCTGGAGAAGCGGGAGAGCACTGACCTGGGAGTCAGGGGGCCTCGCTCTGCTCCTGGGCCTTGAAGCACTTCCTCTCTCTGGGCCTTGGTGCTCTCCCGTACAGAGGGAAGGCCCCTCCAGAGTTCCTTTCCCTCTGGCTTCCCCAGTGTCCCCACATTTTCCTGCCTCAGTGCCTCTGCGCTGGTTATTTCTGCGCCTGGAATGCCCTGCCCTTTCCCTCCCACTTCCTTCCTCTGACATTTTCCCAGTCACTTCGGACTTCATTCAAATGCTGCCCACGGAGGCCCACAGTGCTGGGGGTCCACTGACTGGTCACCTAAGTCTCCTCCACCAGCACGGACAGAGCAGAGCCTCCCTGGTTTTGTGACGGGGGGGCAGGGCCTCCCTGGGGGAGAGAGCTGTTTTGCCAGCCACCGTTAGAGGAGTTGAAGTGAATTCTTGCTCCCACCTACTCGCACTTGCCCCTTCCAACTTTCAGAGCCTGAGCTCATTCTTCCTTAGGGCGCTTAAGAGATTGTGCCTCCCTGGGGCGACCCAAGCCACCCAGGTATCAAACTGGGGCACTTTGGGCAAAGGTGGCCACCCGGAGAAGGGGCCCCAGGAAGGATGAGATGGAAAGACAGGGCCTCAGCCAGAGGATGGCTGCCCCCTCACCTGTCTCATCCTCATTCACAAACACCTGGGCGGAAACCCTCTCTCTCAGCAAACATAGGGCTCTTGCTCCCACGACCACACCCAAACCCACTCCTACCTACATGCCCACGAACGGACTAGTAAGTTTACAAAAATATACCCCACTGCCACCTCAGCTCCCCTCCCCTCCCCCTGCAGGCATCGCACACACGTACACATGCATCGCACATGCACGCATAGGCACACAGTCGTGCCCACATGCGCTTGGGTGTACACACTCATGCATACACACGTGGGCACACGTATGTGTATACACACCTCCTCAGTTCTCAGGTGAGCTGAGGAGCTGCAGGGGACGCGGCATGAGGACAGTGCTCTGCTGTGGGGTCTGGCTGCCTCTGGATTTACTTCCAACTGGGGTCTTTTAAAAATAGATTTGAGAGAGAGAAGAGGAAAGGCGGGGGGGGGGGGGGGGGGGGGGGGGAGAGAGAGAGAGAGAGATTTGTCGTTCCACTTATTAATGCATTCATCAGTTGATTGTTGTATGTGCCCCCCTTCCATCCCACAATCTTGGCCTATTAAGACAACACTCTAACTAATTGAGCTACCTGGCCAGGGCGTACTGGAGTTTTTTGTACAAATTGGAGTCTTTTGTATTAACTTTCCTTACTGTGGCCCAATGGGAAGCAGACAAAGCCCCAAGAGCTGTGAGTTCACTCCGGCAGCACCACGCTTGGGCCTGACAGGAATGGGGTGGGGTAAGGATTCCATTACTTCCCCGAACAAACGACTCAAAGAGCCTTCGTTTTGTGGGACCAGTAAGTGTGAGGCTGCTCTGCGTTCACTGCCACACTCGCTACTCCACTGCCTCCGTCTCCGCGGCTGCAGAGGCCTCAGCCCTGCCTCTCCACCTGTGGGCCTCGCCCCAGGTTGTCAGGCAGGATGGCCTCACGTGGAGGGGGCTCCTCCGGGACCCTCCAGGGTAGCAGGACAGAAATCCGGGGGTGGTTGGAGGAGTGGTTGTGTTTGTGACGCGTTACCTGGTCTACAGGGTCGGGCAGAGAACAAGCTTGGGTTCCCTTCCCCCCAATGCAGCTGCGCCAAGCACAGAGCCTGGGCCTGGCGTGGTGCTGTGAGCAGGGAGGGTGAGGGGGTGGATGCAGAAAGGAGGAAGCCACAGTAACTGTCTTCTAAGAGTGTGCGTGCGTGTGTACATACGTGTGTGTGTGTGTGTGTGTGTGTGAGGTGGGTGTACACACTCATATGCATACACCCGGGGAACAACCCCCAACCCCTGAGAGTGGAACTCAAACACAACGTGCTCCACACGGAAGCCGTCAGCTCTGCCCACCCCTCCCCAGAGGGTCACAAACACCACCGCCACCCTGGTCCCCCAGCTGCCTTTCCTATGCTGGTTACTAAGGTCGCATGGTGGCCTAGGGCAAACACGTGGGTGCCACTCCAGATCTGCCCTCTCCTACCCCATCCAAACAGCCCCCCTTCCCATGGGTTATTCTTGTTCCATCCCTCCCATCCACTCTCTTCTTTGGGGGCCCACTGCCACTGCCTTGACATCTCTCACCACCTCCCTGCCAGGGCTCCTAAGTGTGTGTGGGGGGATCCCACCTCCGGGCTTATTCCACCCTCCACACCGCTGCCAAGACAGTCTGCCTCAAACACACAGCTGATCTGAAACTTAGAACCCTGTTGGACCCCCACCGCCATCTGGATGAAGGGCCAAATGCCTAACATGGCACAGCCATCCTCCGTGCTGGCATGCAGTGCTCCTGCGCTCGCAGCCGGCCGCTAACTCGCATGACGTCCCAGCCTCCCGGACCCCCAGGTGGCCATGGTGGTGTGCACCTCTGAGCTTCGTAGGTGCTGTGCCTATTGCCTGGCATGCCCACCCCGTCCTTGACCTAGGAAGGACCTCCTCATCTTTCCATATTCTATTAGAAGACACTGTATAATAGTGCTGACAGCCCAGCCAGTGTGGCTCAGTGGTTGAGCATCCACCCATGCACCAAGAGGTCACCGGTTGGATTCCCAGTCAAGGCACATGCCTGGGTTGTGGGCTTCTGCAGGAGGCAGCTGATTGATATTTCTCTCTCATTGCGCGCGCTCTCTCCCTCTCTCTAAAAAAGAAAAAATCAATAAAAACAAACAACAAAAGCATAGTGCTGACAATAATGATTTAAAGTCAACATTTTGACTTGCACATCTATGCTATCTATGCTTGTTTAATCCTCATGTCAACCTTGCTACTATTTATCATCTCCATTTTAGAGATGGGGAAATTGATACACAGGAGTTTAAGTGCCTTATTTTCCTAAGGTGACATGCCTAATAGGTGATGGAGGGAGATTTGCACATCGCCCGTTCAGCTGAAGAGTTTGTGCAGTTAACCCCTGCATTACACACCCTCACTCACTGTTCTAAGTATTTGCCAACTTACATAGCTTTTGAGCATTTCAGAGTCAATGTCTGATGAATGAATGAACTCATTAAAATTTAATGGAATGAAGAGGTAGGGCTCATCTTCATTTTGGAAAGATGTCTCCCATGCTAACACTTTTATTTTTATCCTATATAATAAAGAGCTAATATGCAAATGGTCATCACACCCTCATGCTGTCACAGCTCATACACTCAACACTGGGGAGAGAGGAATGGGGACCAGCCAGGCTGTGGCCCAGGAGAGGGACAGGCCACCCACCCCTTGGTCCTGGGTGCCAGCGGCTGCGCCTGTGGCCCAGGAGAGGGACAAGCCACCTGCCCATGGTCCCCTGTGGCTGCGGCCAGCCCGGGCGAAGCCGGCCCAGGTCCTGGGTGCCTGTGGCTGGCCAGAGGGAGGGAATTCTGGGTCCCAGGTGTGGGGCAAGGCAGAGCCAGTTAGGGGCGATCAGGCCAGCAGGGGAGCAGTTAGAGGCAATCAGGCAGGCAGGCAGAAGTGGTTAGGGGTGATCAGGCAGGCAGGCAGAGGGGTTAAGGGCAATCAGGCAGGCAGGCAGGCGAGCAGTTAGAAGCCAGCGGTCCCGGATTGCGAGAGGCAGTCGGATATCCCCCGAGGGGTCCCAGATTGGAGAGGGTGCAGGTCGGGCTGAGGGACACCCCTCCTGTGCACTAATTTTGTGCACTGGGCCTCTAGTAGAACAGAAAATTTTAAAGAAAACAGATTTTGAGAGTAAAATCCCATAGATCATGTTTTCATTGTATCTTCATGCTTTTTACATGGAATTTATATGGATCTCTAAGCCTAAGTTTTTCAAGTCAAGAAAGAGAGATGTCCTCAGGATCTAATGACCTGCTTACCAGGACCGCACCCCATGACATGGGCAGCTGTCAGCTACATACTGAGCCACCGCTGTGGTTATGCCACCAGGCAGACAGACCCGCTGAGAAGTGACCTAAAACAAGGTCACACGGGCCAGGGACAGAGTTGTTCCAAACAGGGGTGTCTGGGGGCTTTCTGGAAGAGGTGAGATTGGGGATAAGTCTTGAAAGATTTTGATAATTGGAGAGATGGGAGAAGGGCAGGGAAGTCCAGAGAACTTTTGGCCCCCCAGGTTTGCTGGTGGAAAGGACAGGAAGGCAGCAAGGAAAGAGAGGATGTGACAGGTGGTGAGACCCGGCAACCGCATGGGAGAGTGGAAGGGGTTGAAACCACCTCCGCTTCCATCCTCGGTGACGGGACATGTTTGGACAAGTGGCTGTTTCTTTCTTGTTCCGCTGTCCTATATGCAAATTGATCATTTCCGTCCGGGGAAAAGCTCAGATGAGGACCCGCCAGGTAGGAGGTTTGCTGATCCTCCAATCTAACACCCTTGGCTGCCACCCAACCAGCCAACAGCTTCAGTCTTCCTACGCTCGCTTCCCAGACGGGTGCGGCCTAGGGGACCAGCCACGGCTCCGCCACTGGCTGGGTTGGCAGGCCATTGGCACAGTTTGCTGGGGTTGTTGAAGATTAAATCAGTTAAGGCACTTAAAGCATCTGGGACGTGGGCCAGCTGCCAACAGGTGCCCTGAAGAAATTAGCTGGTGTCGTCAAAGGTCTTTGAGACGATACAGAATTTCACTGGCCTCTCTCTTCCAGGCCACAGGATTGGGCCTTTGCTGCCACCTCCCTCAAGTCCCAGGGTTCTCCTCACAAGTGTGGCTCCGGTTGACCTGAGCAGTATCCTCCTCACCTGCCAAGTGTCCCGAGTCAGTGTCCCCCCACCTTCTGCCTCTGCCCTTCTGTAGGCTGCTGCCTCGGTCTCTGGGGAGGAGGGTAATTTTGCTCTGTGCCCGCAGGGCCTGCACGGGAAAGCAACACTGCAGTGAAACCTGAGCGGATACTCCCTGGGAGTGCACGGGGCACACCGCCAACTTCAGTTCCCAGGGTCGGCCAGGTTCCCGACACCGGAGCTAAGTCCCCGGAGAGTAGGTGCTGGCGGCTCTGGGCTCCTCGGGGGGCAGAGGGCTCACAGCCCTGCACACAGCCAGGCTTGGGAAATCCTGTACCTGTTGGCTGTTCACACAACAGGGTGACAGCACCATCCGGCTATGCAAAGAGCCCACAGATCCCTGAGAAGGAGGCTGGGATGGCAGACAAATCTGGCTCCTCCAGTGAAGGGACAGGTAGAGAGGGATTAGCTTACAAAACAGAGGCTGGGCCCTGGCCCAGTGGCAGGCCCAACGGGCTGCCCCGGAGCGAACCCCGGGGCCTTGAGGATGCGCTCTGAACTGTCCGGGCCACCTTCCCTCCTCTCCTAACGCCTTGCCCACTCGGAGGTTTCTTCTAACGCCCCAAACGCTTTCTCTCAGACCCCCCAAACCGAAGTTTCTCCTTATCACTATTTTTAAACAGTTCGATTGCGATGTGCCACGGTAAGATTTCCCTTGTGTCTGTCCTGTTCGGGGTCCATTCTGCAAATGTGGAACAATGTCAGCCATTATTGATCCTAACTGGCTTCCGTATCCCTTCTGTTGCGACCACTGCTGCTTAAAGGAGACGCCTGGGAGCTTGTTAACAATAAGGATCTCCTGGAGCTCAGGAGTCTGTGTTTCGAACAAGTTCCAGGCTGGGTCTTGGGCCCACTGAACCAAGACCCCCTCAGCTGCGACTGCGAATGCGACATTGGCAGGGCCTGGGTGCCACTCATCTCTGTGCCCCAGGCCCCACAGGGCCCGTTTGAGGAATGGAGCCCTCAGCTGCGAGGAGTTCTTCTTCATTCATGGAGTCAGCAAGCGTGGTGCCATCTCCCTTCCCAGCTCTGCATCAGTCAGCAGGGGGGCTTTGAGGAGCTCCCCCAAACCACTCATGAGGCCTCCAGGGACAGCACGCCTGCTGACGTAACCACGTTGGACCTCTATCCTCTGTAAAATGGAGAAAAACGTTTCTACGGTGAGGGTTGGTGTGATGGAGTCAGCTTCAAAAGCTGGGAATTCTGGGTGACAGGTTTAACTCACTTTGGGGTTAGGGGTGAGTAGAGGGGGAAAAACAAGTGAACAGTTAAGAAGCGATTTGCAGCCCTAACCAGTTTGGCACAGTGGATAGAGCATCGGCCTGCAGACTGAAAGGTCCCAGGTTCGATTCCGACCAAGGGCATGTACCTTGGTTGCAGGCACATCCCCAGTAGGAGGTATGCAAGAGGCAGCTGATCGATGTTTCTCTCTCATCGATGTTTCTAACTCTCTATCCCTCTCCCTTCCTCTCTGTAAAAAATCAATAAAATATATTTTTAAAAAAAAGAAAAAAAGAAGAAGTGATTTGCAAGCTCCTTCCTAGAACATATAGAGAGCAGCTGACAATGTACCGGCCAGTGAATACGCACATACATTGTGTTCATGCTGGGTCAACTTTACGGAGGTGTCACTGACCCACGATGCCATGCACTCATTTAAGTGTACAGTCTGATGAGTTTTGACACAGGTATTTGCCTGTGTAACCTCTATCACAGTACAGATCATTTCCTTCACTCTAAAAGTTTTCTTGCTCCTTTTTTTTTGCAATCGATCCCC